ATGACAGAAAATAGTTTGCTTCCACAGAAAGCATTTCTTTTCAAGCAGACCATGAGATAATGTTAAAAAGAGAAAAACTTTTCTGCAACACTATTTTATACATTAATTTACAATAGTTCTTTTTGGCAATATTTGAAAAGAACTAATTAAAACATATTTTCTGTATGTGCTTAAAAATGAATAACATTTTCAATAAATAAATCAGTTTTTGAACATAATCTCATTGATCATTTTATGTCCTACAGATCAGCGACATAATTGCTATTTTTATGATGAAATCTGTGGTATAGGAAACTTGCCTGCCAGATATGAAAACATATGTATATATGCAACAAATACACACACACACACACACACACACACGCACATACACTATGTCTGTATTCAGAACAACCGTTAACAAATTAGGGTCTTTAGTGTATGACAACTGTGGAATTTAAGAAATAATAGACAAAATGATTACTCTAAATGATGTTAAGATAATGGCTATCTAGTTAGATCTCCATGCAGCATCTTTCACAAACTCCAAATTGATTTAAGACCTAGACATTAAAAAAAAAAAAAAGCCGAAACTACAAAAGTGCTAAAAAAAAAAAGAAATAAAATATATTTTAATAATTTGGGGTGATGAAGGACTTTCTCAGCATGATAGAAAACCTAGAAATCATAGAAGAAAATATCAATATATTATAACTTGATATTATCTTTTATTTGAAAAATAATAACTATACTATTTTTATATAATATATTTATAATTATAAATATAACTATAATAATAATTATGTTACTTTTCAAATAATTTATATTATCCTTTATTTGAAAAGATAATATAAAGTTAAAAGATAAATGAGAGATTGAGAGAAAATATATGCAACATATTTAAAGGCAAAGATTAATATCTAGAATATTTTACTAATTACTAAGAAGAATACAAAAGATAATTAGCCACATAAAAATTGACAAAGAATATAAACAAGAAATTCATGGAAGAGCAGATATAAATGTCCAATAAGCTTAAAAAAGGATTCATTGGCTGGGTGCAGTGGCCACACTTGTAGTCCCAGCACTTTGGGAGGCCAAGATGGGAGGATCACTTGAGGTCAGAAGTCCAAGACCAGCCTGGCCAACATGGTGAAACCTTGCCTCTACTAAAAACACACACACAAAAAAAGTTATTGGGGGTAGCGGTGTGTACCTGTAATTTTGGCTACTCGGGAGGCTGAGGCAGGAGAAATGCTTGAACCTGGTATGTGGAGATTGCTGAGAGCTGAGATCGTGCCACAGCACTCTAGCCCAGGTGACAGAGTGAGACTCTGTCTCAAAAAAAAAAAAGATTCATTTATAAAAGAGAATTAAACAGTAACAAGATACCATATTCCCCACTTGATTTGCAACATTTCAATTGATTAATAACATCCACACCTGGTGAGGAAAAATGGACACTCTTACGTTGTACTGATGAGAGTAAATACAGGTATAGCTTTTACATACTAAAAGCTATATCTGTAAATTGACATCATCTATCAAAATAAAAAATATGCATGACCTTTGACCCAGCAGTTTCACAATGAATTCTACTTCTAGAGTTCTATTAGACGGAAATGTTAGCTTAATTATATTTAAAAAATGTCCCAGGATGCTCACTGCAGTGCTGTTAACTAGTCAAAAATTGGAGAAAAATTCTCAATCTTTGGGAAAATGTTTGAATTAATTACAGAATATTTATCAAAGGAAATCCAGGTAGCTGTTAAGAAGAGAGAAGCAGATTCGTATGTACTGACTTGGAAAACTATTCAAAGTAAAAGAAAAAGCACGCTGCAAAACCATATCCATAGCCTGATTCTATTTTCATTTTGGAAAAGAGTAACAACAAAAATATATGTTCCTAGAAACACAGAATAAAGTCTGGAAGAAAATAAATCTCTTGATGGTGGCTGCAGGGATGGGGGCTGAAGTGGCAGGAGAGAAGGAAAGGAGCTTCCCTTTTCGTTTCATATACACAAAAAGTGAGATTATGAGTGATTTTGTCTTTTTTGCTTTGTGTATTTAACATTCTTTTTATTATTATAGACACACATTTCTTCTATGTTCAAAAAACAAAGGTAACCTTGGAAAGATAACTATTGAAGGATGGATGGAAAAGAGGAGTGACTGGAGACATGAAAACAATGTAGGAGACTTTAAAAGACAGTGGGGAGGGCTGCGAGGGGCGGACCCAGGGCGCAGAGGAAGGGATTGTGAAGGAGGGACAGAGGTGAGGCTCTGGGAAGTGAAACTGAAGAGGAGAGACAAGCCCTGACACACAGAGTATGACTAATCTGAGGTTGCCGCCTCAACTCCTAGTCCAGTGCTTTCTCAGTATTTCCCTAAAGGCCTCATGTAAGAGGTACCATCAGCCCATCACACAGCTCCACACAGACCCTTGGGGCTTGGGGCTTGGGCGTGGATGCACACAGAGCACACTCACAGCAGATAACAAAACCTATGTTGGCTGGTTCCCGTTTAGGCAACAGTTTCAGTTCTGATTTCCCACTTACATGTTGTCACATGAGACCAGGTAAAAGCAACATCATCTTTTCCAAGGGTTCCTTGGGCTGTTCCGAGCAGCGTGGTGACCTCAAGATTGTAGCACCATTACATCAGCCTTCTCAGGTACAACCAAGCATCTCTCTGACTGATTCCATGGGAACCCAGGGTTCTTTCCTGCGCTCCACTTGCTGCCTGACTGTAATAGGTAGCCTGCACAACCCATGCTCAAATCTTTTGGTTCCTGTTTACTAAGATCAGCTCATAAGCATGCGACAACGCGCAGAGTCTGCTCTGAAGCCAGCTCCGTCATTGCTGTAAACAGTCATTCGGAAAATCCTTGTTTGTGGCCAAGTCACATCTCACCCTTGAGCTCCTTCCAGGCCTCTGGGCACACCAGCTAAAGTGCATGACCAACAGCTCAACATAGGGTAGGCAGTGTCACTCAAAGGATATTAATTTCATGTGGGATACCTTTCTATAGGGCCTGCTCACTTTTTATTTGTTTACACAGAAACAATTGTTTAAACATCTGCTTAAATACTGTGAAATCTTTTTGAAAATTGGATCTTTTGGTCTAGCAGCATAACTGGGAAAGCTCATGTTTACCAAAGTAGAGGTAAATTGTATGTTGACAAAATGAATTCAGCGGAATATCTGTTATCACATTTCATGAGAGCAAGTACAATATCAGCCAAAGCTTTCCTGCATTGAATAGGAAATACTTTTGGCTGTTTGAAGCTTTAAAGCTCATTAGTATATTATAACCTTGACTTTTAAAAATAGTATGAATCTATCATATAGAATGCTCCATATAAAGCTTTTGTGGAAAACGATTTCAAATAAAATTCAAAATATGTCTGAGGATTGACCTGGTATGGTAGAGAAGAAATCTTCAAATGTCATCCCCTTTTCTTCTCCATTGGACAACTTTTCTGATTTTAAAGTTATACATGCTCACATCAGCATCCCTAAGGAGCTGCATATTGACCTATGAACATACAAAAGCAACAGTCTTGCTGCTGTGCTTCTAAAATGCAACAGAAAAACATTTGGCTTATACAATTAAGAAAATCTGATTATATCACAGACCTGTCTTTTTTGAGTTTGAGTGATTTCTTTCTTGTGTCAGATGGAAGAAAATAGAATTTTCACATCCTTTAGCATCAGATAATTTATAGATCTTGTTGCTGAATGGCTTATCTTTAGAAGGAATTTTGAAGTTGCAACATGAGTACCATTTTTCACATGAGATAATTGATCTGATTTGCTGGTAGCTTTTTTAAGCAGAAGCCTGAGTCTGGTGGAAAGTGAAAATTCAATCTGTTTCTTGTTTGCCCTCCTTGATATCAATCACTGATTTTAAATGGTTTGTCTAGTTGCTTAGGCATCTTGTAGAGAAATTTTAGAATGAAGAAACTCCAGTATATCTATATCAATCTGCTACCTTGCTAATCAAGACACTTGCTTTTGCTGGGCTCAATTTGCTTCATTTCTCTCTCTCTCCTTCTCTCTTGTGGGCGCTTGCACGTGCACACACACACACACACACACACACAATCAGAATGAAATGACATAATACAGACATTTTAATCTACTTTAGAGAAAAATAAAAAGTCTAGTATCATTTAATCTACTTTAGAGAAAAATAAAAATGTAGCATTATTAGGGCGCTGTCTTTTCTGTTTAATACGCTGTGCCAAGATTCTGATGCTTAACTGGTAGCTTGAGACTTGAGCTCACAATGACAAAGCTTTACTGCTCCCTTCATGCAAATATCTGGTAACCATGAGTCCTAGTTTAGCTCTTCAACACTCTTAGAAAATAATCATTAGTTTCAATGGATGTGAAAGCTTATTGATCTGCCATGAGTTAGACACATAGACTAGCCACACTCAGGTTTCTTACCTTAAATTTTTACCCTGAAGATCCTACTAGTCAATAATTTTCAAAAACTCCATTTAGAGGAACAAAATGAATAAACTTGACTATTTAATATTTAAAACTCAGCCTAAAGAAATAATATTAACATTTATGGGTGTCTAATATTTATAGATATGTATACTATAACTTTGCCATTGGGGTAAGTCAGACCATGAGAGGTCCACAACCCATATTGTATGCATTTGCTTTTTGCTTCACATTTGGGTGTTATGACATCAACTGCCCTCCCAGACCCAATGTTCTAGGATACAGCAGAACTCGAAGTGTTTGGGCCACTTGGACTTCCGCCTGTCCACTTGCTTGCCTTAAGCAGATTCCGAGGAGCTGCATTCCAGATTGATTCCCTGTGTTCTTTTGGTCTCATATTCTGCAGCCTTCCTGGTAACAGGCATACCGGGTCCAGTGAGGGACATCCGTTCATTCTCAAGCAAGCCAACCTCATCTCTGAAGTCAGCAATGAAGTGCTGAGTAATGACTTGGAAAAGCAAATAAATAAAGGAATTAGGAAGGACATTTTCTTATTTGGAGCTCACCAGAGAATGTGATTTTTTTTCTGAAAAATTGCATACTTCCGAATACGCCTTATGGGAAACTACCCAGCTTTTCCACAATATGTACCTGATATGGAGAGGAAAAAAAGCAAACCATGGTGGTCTAAGCAGCTTAGATTTGATTTAAAAAAAAAGGTAATTGCATACATTTTGCTTTTGTTTTGTTTTTAAAACCATTGTCTTTCTCATGGATCAAACTGGACTAGTCGGCAGGAGATATTTTGCTTTTGAAAGGGTTTTAATAGCATCTCTGACCAAATTTGCTTTACTTAAAACATTCTTTAATGAAACAAGATACCTCCTCCCACCTCAATCCCCTACAATCCAGTTTATTAACTGTGAGATCTAATGAAATTATTCTCAGCTGGTCCCAGAAAACAGAAAACAGCATACTCTGTTTACTAGCTTATTTTAATCAACAGGATTAATACATGTAGCTTCCAGTTATGCATACAAAAGGAGAAATGGTGATGTTTTTGCTTCATCTGAAGAGAGTGGTTCCTTCAGTTCATTTTCCAAACCCTTCTGCCAGAACAAGCTGGTTCTTCTGGGAAGACAGAACTGCCTACGACCATATGCACCCATCTGTTCTCTACGAAAACGCCTTGGCCTTTTCCACACTGAGCCAGTGGGTGGTGGGGGTGACCACTGCAGGTAGACAGGCCAGGTAAGCCTCAGTCAGGTAAGGGAATACTCATGGCTAAATGTGCAAGTATAAGAAAACCATTAAAAAAGAAGAGTTTGCTCTAACATAGTTATTTCTCTGCCTCTGCTGTGGGCCATTAGTTATTTTCTCTGCAGAGAAATAACTTTGTTTCAGCAAACTCTTCTTTGTAATGGTTTTCTTATTGGCTCGCAGCCCTCTGCTAGCTCTATACTCTGAATCTTCTTACAGAAATGCTCTTCTTGTCTTTGCTAGACATTGTCAAACAGCTTGTTTATGTGCTGTTTGCATTGCGGCTCTGAGATCACACCTGTATGTAATTCTGTAATTCTCTTGCCAAGGACAACTAGCTTCTGTTTTTTTGTTTTCTTGCTTCATTTATATTTCAACAACTCCTTCTGGAAAATACACTTGAATTTGCAACCTGCACAACAGGATCACCCAGGCAGCATCTAGGAGCTTGTGGAAGGACGGGTTGGGAAAAGGAAATTAATGTTCTTTTTAAATTTATTTATTTTTAAGGATAAAATTATTATGATTACTATTGCTTTTAATTTTTTTATTTCCATAGAGTTTTGGGTAACAGGTGGTGTTTGGTTACATGAGTAAGTTCTTTAGTTGTGATTCGTGGAATTCGGTGCACCCGTCACCCAAGCAGTACACACTGCCCCATATTTTTAGTCTTTTATTCCTCACCTACTTTCCACCCTATCCCCCTTTTCCCCGAAGTCCATTGTGTCATTTGTTTGCCTTTGCATCCTCATAGCTCAGCTCCCTCCCACTTATGAGTGAGAACATGCGATGTTTGGTTTTGCATTCTTGAGTTACTTCACTTAGAATAGTAGTTTTCAATCCCATCCAGGTTGCTGCAAATGCCATTAATTAATTCTTTTTTATGGCTGAGTGGTATTCCATTGTGTGTGTGTGTGTGTACGTATATATATATGGTGGTGTATATATATGTATATATGTACACATATATAAAGTATTTGATTCAGCAATCCCAGTACTGTGTATCTACCCAGAAGAAAATTAGTTACTAAACAAAAAAGATACTTGCACACACATGTTTATAGCAGCACAATTCGCAATTGCAAAAGTACAGAACCAGCCGAAATGCCCATCAATCAATGAGTGGATAAAGAAATTGTGGTATATATACATTATGGAATACTGCTCGGCTATAAGGAGGAATGAAATAACGGCATTCACATTAACCTGGTTGGGATTGGAGACTATTATTCTAAGTGAAGTAACTCAGGAATAGACAACCAAATATTGTATGTTCTCACTCAAAAGTGGGAGCTAAGCTGTGAGGATGCAAAGGCATAAGAATGATACAATGGACTTTAGGACTCGGGGGAAAGGGTGGGAGAGGGTGAGGGATAAAACACTACACTGTACATTGTGTACACTTCTCGGGTGACAGGTGCACCAGAATCACAGAAATCACCACTAAAGAACTTATTCATGTAACTAAACCACCTGTTCCCCAAAAACCTATTGAAACAGAAAAAAGTGAAAGAAATTTACATGCACTAGGGCTTTTTTTTTTCTTTCTTTCTTTTTTTTTTTTTTACTTAATCTCTTGCTCTCAGCTGTTTTATTTCTAGGTTCTATTGGAATAATATGTGAATTCTAATTCTAATAATATGTGACTTTCTAACATTTTATTTGACTAAAAATTATAAAGCTGATCTGAAATTCACCATAATGGGGTTTTACTATGTGGGTAAACAGGACCCACAGACTTAAAAATCATAGAATCTGAGAGTAGGAAGCAACTTAGCAATCCTCTAATTTAGTTCTTTCATTTTTCAGAGAAGGAAACTGAGGATAAGAGAAGTTATGTGATTTGCCTATAGCTACACAGCTACTACTCTACAGTGACAGAGATTACTGAATGCATCTTTTTACTCAGACATGTGAACTATGGTGGCTAAAAACAGTTCTGGTGATGTGTAATGTACATTGTTGGGGGTCAGAAAATAATACAGCAAAATGAAGGTCTCAGAGCAGCTTTGGAACCAAAAGGTTTTCTCTGACTTTCTCTGGTCCTCCTGTCTCTGGCCCCCCTCATTCTCCCTTGAGGCCATGGAGACTAGAATCCCTCCTCCAAGGTGGGTCATAGAAAATAGAACTCTTTTTCCCAAAGCCAACCATAAACCCCTGAAAATATTACTTTAACTTTACCTCCACCTTTCTGTGTAAAAACTGGTTATAAAGAAATTATCTGACCTACTCTTTTTGATTGTAGATGGCAAGCGCCCCCATTCCCGAGAGGGTCCTGCCCCATATCCAGAAGGAAGGAATGCTGCACAGAGGCCAGGAAGAATCTAGACAGACAGGCCTTGCTGAGTTTCCCTACTCAGTCTATTTGTATTAGATCATGCATTTTTTTGCCCAGTTATATTTCTACATGGCTGTCCGTATTTTGCTGAACCTAAGCATAAACAGGGACAGTTTCCCCAATATCTTCGGGTCTTCATCCCGAAGGCTCCTATGTCACGTAGAAAACTATCATCAAAAATATCTCTATGCCTTGCTCCTATTATTCTGCCTTTTGTCAGTTGATTTTAAGTGAACCTTTGGAAAGATAAGGGAAGTTTTTCCTAGGCCCCTGTAACATGTTATGTTTTAGAGATTTCAAAATTATTCACATGCTTTTGTACATTTTGAATATTTTCATGGCATCACACATGTTTGTGTGTGTGTGTGTGTGTGTGTGTGAAACGGCATAATTTTAGTATTTTAACCTTCACTAGGTCATAAAAATGATTTAGCTTTATATTTAGAAAAAATCTTAAAACTCTGTGGTTAGTTAGTACATAGTGATAAAATAAAAACTTTAGCCAAATTAAAGGAGTTTACTTGAACAATGAAGGAACAATTCATGAATCAGGTAGCCCCCAGAATCACAGCAGATTCAGAGACTCCAGTGCAGCCACGTGGTAGAAGAAGATTTACAGAACAAAAACAGGGAAATGACGTAGAGAAATCAGCAGTGAGGCTGGATTGGTTACAGGCTGGCATTTACCTTATTTGAACACAGTCTGAACACTTAGCAGTCTACGAGGGGTTGAAGTGTGGCTGCTGGGATTGGCCACAGCTGTTATTACAGGCACATACTCCTAAATTAGGTTTTCAATCTTGTCTGACTATTAAGCTACGTTACAGTTCATCTACAAGGACTCCGATATAGAAGTATGGAGTCCTTCTCAGGCCATATTTAGTTTGCTTTAACAACAGATACGGGTAGAAAGATTAGAGAGAGTCATAAAGTATGTTCACTTCATGCAGCTATAAGGTTGGACTAATTGGGCAAATTAGATAATACATCTGGAAAATTCTGGCAAAAAATCAAAATAAAACAGAACAACCAAATTCACTATTTTCCAAACCAAAATTGCTTGAGTTTTTGCTTATTTTTGTTTAGTTTATTTATATTTGTGTAAAATTCCTACCCAGAATACCTAGTTGATCATAGTGTCAGAATAAGTTATTAAACTATAGTCTGTACTTCCTACGGAGATATAATCATTATAGATATATTGCTCTCTGAAATTTAATGGTGTCACTTTTTCATCAGTGCTGTTAAAGTGATTAAGCTATTACAGATCAAATTATGTTTTTTAAAATAAAAAAAAGGATTTTGTAGAGATGGGAGCAGTTCTCATTATGTCATCTAGGCTGGTCTTGAACACCTGGGCTCAAGTCAGCCTCCCACCTTGGCCTCCCAAAGTGCTAAGATTGCAGGTTTGAGCCATCATGCTCTCACCCTTTTTTTTTTTACATTTTAAAATTATTACACAATATTGGTACATATTTATGGGGGTAGATGTGATATTTTGTTATGTGCATAGACTGTATAATGATCAGGTTACAGTGTTTGGGGTGTTTGTCACCTCCTGTGTTTATCAGTGATTTCCAAGTGCTAGGAATATTTGAAGTGCTCTCTTCTTATTTTGAAATATACAATATCTTGTTAGGTATAGTCATACTACTCTGCTGTAGAACATTAGAACTTATTCTATCTAGCTGTATGTTTGTACCTGCTAACCAACCTGTCTTTGTTGATGTATCTGTAGTGAATGTCTCTGTGGTGGACCTCCCCAGCCTCTAGTAACCATCATTCTACTCTCTCTCTCTCATGTGATCAACTTTTTTAGCTTCCACACGTGTGTGAGAACATGTGACGTATGTCTTTGTGTGCCTGGCTCATTTCACTTAACATAATGACCTCTATTTCCACCCATGTTGCTGCAAATGACATGATTTCTTTCTTTTCATGGCTGAATAGTATTCCATTGTGTATATATACCATATTTCCCATATCTATTTGTCCACTGATGGATACTTAGGTTGATTCCATATCTTTGCTGTTGTAAATAGAGCTTTGATAAACATATGTGAGTGGAGATATCCCTGGATATACTGATTTCTTTTCCTTTGGATGAATATCCAATGGTGGGTTTGCTGGATTGTATGGCAGTACTGTTTTTTGTTCCTCTCTTTTTTAGAAATCTCCATACTGTTTTCCATAATGGCTATACTAATTTACTAACATTTAATATCTCATCGTGGTTTTGATTTGCATTTCCCTGATGATTAGTGATGTTGTGAACTTTTCATATACCTGTTGGCCATTCAATTATGTTTTAATATGATACCTCTGTAAGGGTTAAGTACTTTTTAGGACATGGATCTGGAATGATTGCCAGAAATCATAGTTTGAATGGAATTAATTTTCAAATTTAGCTGGCATATACTTTCCATTTCTCTACCCTACTAAATAAATTAAAAGTTAATTTACCGGCTGGGCGCGGTGGCTCAAGCCTGTAATCCCAGCACTTTGGGAGGCCGAGGCGGGTGGATCACGAGGTCAACAGATCGAGACCATTCTGGTCAACATGGTGAAACCCCGTCTCAACTAAAAAAAAAAAATTACAAAAAATTAGCTGGGCATGGTGGCGCGTGCCTGTAATCCCAGCTACTCAGGAGGCTGAGGCAGGAGAATTGCCTGAACCCAGGGGGCGGAGGTTGCGGTGAGCCGAGATTGCGCCATTGCACTCCAGCCTGGGTAACAAGAGCGAAACTCCGTCTCAAAAAAAAAAAAAAAAAAAAAAAAAAAAAGTTAATTTACCATGGTGGTGGGCTTGACAGGAACTGAGAAGAGCTTTTACTTTCATTTTCTAGGACCACTCTCCTGAGCTTGATAAACACTCCTGAGCCTTTTAAACAATCACCCTCCACCTGCCTATCAACCTTTACTTACACTCAACTTGGAGCAGGCTCTCTTCTCTACTTCCTTTTCTGGGCAGTCCCCAGAGCTGCTTTACCTTCTTCGCTTGCTTCTATTTCAGCATGACTAGCCCAGAGCCTGCCCAAATATGTGGTAGGCTGATGAATGGTCCTCCAAAGATGTCCATGGTCCTAATCACTGGGATCTGTGAGTATATTACTTTTTATGGTGAAAGGGGTTTTGCAGATATGATCAAGTTAAGGATTTAGAGATGAGGAGATTATCCAGATGGGCTTAATGTCATCACAAGTTTCTTTATAAGTGGGAGGCAGGAGGATCAAAGTCAAAAAAAGAAGATGTGGTGACAAAACCAGAGGTTGGAGGGATGCCCTTTGAAGATGGGGAAAGGCGCCAGGAGCTGCGGAATGCAGGCAGCTTCTACCAGCTAGAAAAGGGAAGGAAACATTCTTCCCTGAGCCTCTGGGAAGCAGCAGTCCTGACAAGACCTGGCTTTTAAACTTCTGACTTACACGACTGTAAGAGAATAATTTCTGTTGTTTCAAGTTACTTGATTTATGGTAACTTGTTATAGTAGCAGTAGGGAACTAATGCAATTACCATATATATTAAAGCCCTTTCAAGATCATAATACCATGTTAGGTATTATTCATAGTAGCACATCATAATATTTGTAAATCCTCTTCCTTAATATTGTGTTTAAAAATTAAATGTATTTAAAAAAATGTTTTCAAAACTTGCTTTAAAATATTCTTGTAGAAAAATCTTATACTATTTCTGTATTTTAAAATTATTCAGTTTATACTTATTAAACATCTATTATGTGCAAAAGAGTACGTTCTAGAGGACACAGAAATGTTTAGGACCTGGACTTTAATTCCAAGAATCTCATAAGGTTGACCTCTAGAAGCTAAAATACATGCATAAATAACTGTTGCCCAGGTTGGCATACTGTACTAGCTAGCTAGGCCTGCATAATAAAGTATACAGACTGGGGGGCTTAGACAACAGAAACTTATTTTCTCACAATTCTGAAAGCTAGAAGTCCACGATAAAGGTTTTGTGAAAGGAAAATAAATCCTAGGACCCCCAAAATCACCAAGCCAAGGGAAAAGTCAAGCTGGGAGCTATATTAGGCAAACCTGCCTCCCATTTTATTCCTAGGTAAGATAGCTAAAAAGATAAAAGAGCTACATACTTCCCTCACAATTTTCCCATAAGGAAATTGCTTGTGGGACTCAAGATCTTTGCTCTAACACAGTTCTGTTGAATTTTACCCTGGCAACGTAAATGGATCCCTTATCTCCACAGCTGCAGAACATAAAGTTATCCCTCTGCTTACCTGAAGCAAATGCACATTTGATTGCTTCCTCTGCCCTATTGTTAATGTAAAAATGCAGAATCACTGAGCCAGACTAAGTGGTGTATTCAGTGGAAGGCTGATCAAGGACTCAAAAGAATGCAGTCTTTTCTCTCTGATCTACCTATGACCTGGAGGCTCCTGCTTTGAGTTGTTACACCTCATGGAACTGACCGATATACATCTTACGCATATTGATTGATGTCTCATGTCTCTCTAAAATGTGTAAAAGCAAGCTGTACCTAACCACCTTGGCACAATCGACAAGACCTCAGGAGGTTGTGTCACATGCGTGTCCTTAACTTTGGCAAAATAAACTTTCTAAATTGATACCTGTCTCAATATTTTGGGATTGCTTCTAAGTCCTTTGCTTATAATGTGTCTCCTCCTTTGTTTTTACGTGGTCTTACTTTGTGCCTGTGTCCTAGTCTCCTCTTCTTATAAGGATACCAGCCATATTGGGTTACAGCCCACCCCCCTGACCTCATTTGAACTTAATTGCCTCCGTGAAGACCGCATCTCCAACTACAATCAAATTCCAAGGTAAGCGAGTTTAGATTTCAATATAAAAATTTGTGGAGGACACAGTTCAGCCCATAACACATACTAAGGGTATGCTTTGGGAAAATTCAGAGAAGAGTGAGATACTCTAGATATTGCTAATAGTAGAATTCACTTACAAATCAATTGATTAACAATGAAATCCTTATCATGTGTGGTTACTGATACTCCCAGAATGAGCTATCCTTCCCAGAATGCACAGTGACAAAATGGAGGAATCTTGATGAAGACATATGGAAACAGTAAGTAAAATGATGGAATACATTTAAATCTTCACAAAAAGCACTTAGAACCAAGTACAGAAATCCTTGGATGCATTTGCTCAATT